TCAAAAATAAAATCGAATTTATATAACTTCATCATTAAAGAGAATTTGGAAGTTTGGTAAYGTTTGATGAATCACCGTGATTTATTGAGATGCTTGTTGCTGTAAGTATTGTAGTAAAAATTTCACTTGAACAAAAATTACTTTATTTTGGTCATTTATATTAATATATTTTTACCTACGTAGTACATCTCATATGAGCATATGATTGCATAATTGGGTAATGGATAAACATAAAAAAAATACCTRCAAAATAGTATTTTATATAGGAACGTGTGCATATTTATTTATCCCTATCTTATCTAACACAACTGGGCCGCATAAAAACTTGGTTTAAAGAATGCATTATACTTATTCTAAAATGTTGATTCCTTATTATTCTCTTCTAAAATATGATTTCGTAAATAACATTTTAAAATGATCTGAATATCCGAATGATACATTATATTTAGTATACTAATACCATGGTCCATAGTTATCTAGCGTAAACATTCGTGATTAATATAAATGATTAAATACATGCCTACTTATTATCTATATTCGTACWTACATTTAGATAGGAACTTATTAGTATTTTAGGTTTGTTTATTTTCATTAATTTTACCAGTTATCACAGATTATAGCTTATATACATATATCATTATACGCGATTTAACTATAATATATTAAGAATAGGTAATATACCTATATAGTCTATTGACATTTGACATTATACTGTCCATTATATTTTGGTAGACCTTGATTTAGCTTATATTTAATATACTATGTATATATAAGTTATAGGTACTTATATCATAATGTATGGACTGTAATAATATGAGAATACATTCTATGATTTCTACTTAGTAATCTATATTGTTGTGCGAAATAGTTATTTATTTTAACAATAAACCGATACAGGCCCGTCCTTAAGGAAGAGACAAAGCGACACCCCATTTTGAATGCATAAAAATTACTTTCATCTTTAACAAAATAATTATGATCAAAATTTTAATTTACAAACTTTTATTTTCGTTGTAAGTAAAAAACCTAATAACCCTAAAGATAATATTATTACGAATAACCATTACTGTCCAGATAAAGATATTATCTAATTAGGCACACAATTAATCCCCCTCTTTAAAACTGTCTAAAGACACCTCTATATCGATACATTTAATGTGATATTAATTGTATGAAATTTCACATTCCAGACAACCAATATAAAGCAATTTATCACTATTTCTATGTTAAAAATAATCTCYTGTATTAAAAAATTTTGTGTTGGCTTAAACAGTGAGTTAAACAACAATAAAATAAATTAATAAAAATATATAATGTATAATGCCTACTTTTTAATTGAGCTGTGAAGTAGGTATATATTATAATCTGATAGGATAATTAGGAAGATTGATTTTCTTGGAATATTTTTAATTTACATATTCGTCGATTTGTGTTTGTTAAGATGCGAGTTATCTACGTTTCATCCTTCTTAGAAATGAATACAAATCTGTATCTATTCTGTTAAATATGCACTTCACATCAATTCGATAACAATTATTATAGTTTGAAAAATTTACTCGTATTACTAAAAAATGTGTAACATATGAATATTATGCATCATGTAGGTACCTATGTGGCTATGTTATTATAGGAAGCGGGAAGCCACAATATGAAAAAAATAAAGGAGGAAATAGGTAACCGCTCAGCTGTAYCAATAGTAAGTGTCACCGCTGTACCTCATCATTAAGTCACTGTAATGTGTGTTTAAAATTTGAATTCAATGATGAATCATTGTCGAAGACGGTCTTGTGCTTAATGATGAACAAACACTTTGCAAATCCTTAGACTTTCACAAGCAACAATAACCACAACAATTTCATAAACTTGTACAAGAGGCTGATAAATTGGCATGAATTGGCTTGCGTTAAGTATAAAATATATTATTTAATATTCTAGTATATTGGTAATATGAGTATCTAGGATAAAATAAGTATAATGTTTATTAGTATAATGTTGAAGAAATAGA